ATCGGGCTGCGTCCCCTGCGTGGCGTGCGTCCGGGTTGCAAGGATGCGCTCGTCCCTGCGGATTGCCGAGCTCGTGGTCTGCGGGGAGCCGTGCCTGGGCGGTGCGAGCCCCGCAGCAGGCAAGGTGCTCTCTGTGCAGAGCGTGTTCCCAGCTGCTGGAGCAGCTCTGCCAGCAACGTTTGGATGTCCCTTGAGCTCTTTTATCAGAAAGTCGTGGGAGGTCTGGACAGAAAAAGCTTCTCATTGCCACATGACTGCTGCCTCCCGTCGCTTTAAAAAGCGAGTGTGCACCTTCCCAGCCCTGTGCTTCTCTTCATCTCATGTGTTTGAAGCATACCACATAAGGAGCATTTTTGCTTTTCCTCACCCAGAAGCTGTCCTTGGTCTCCCTTTTTGGCCACCCAGTAGCTGTGTACTGAAAGAATATGTGTTCTCCAAGGGTGACGGTTCCTCCTGGTGCAGTGGCTTGGGCTGTGTCAAAAAGCACCCTGGTATCTCCAGGGTCAACACCAGAGGAGCAGCATCGCAGGGCGGGCAGGGAGGCAGTCCCTGCTTTTGGGTTTTGAGTACTCAGGGAGGACCCATTCCTGATGCTCTCTCAGTTTCCCACGTTACAGCTTAAGATGTGGCTGCTGTAACGTAACTCTGGCAAAAGCTACAAGTGCTTAACTATAGATTGGAGGTTTTAAACAAGGGAAGTCTGAGGCTCTCCTATAGTGTCACCAGCACTCCTGTAGTGTCACCAGCACGAAGCTGATACTCTTTGTTGCGGGCTTTTTTAATCTCCTGTGGCTGTTGAGCTTTGGAGCCTTGTTTGGGCTGGTAAGACTTGCAGTGATAGTGTGGGGCAGGTGCTTCTCGTAACACTTCGGTGTCTCCAAGACTGTTACGGATGTCAACAGCACATGGCAAGTGTCACCAACTCTTATTGCTTTGCAGATTTCCGAAGGTTTCTCGGAGGGGATATTGCAGAGTGCAAGTGTGAAGCCTCAGGTGCCTCCCCATGCCTTGGCCCTCTACCAGCAGCAGATCACGAAAGCCCACGAGTCTGCCCGTGAGGACATGCCCCCGAGCAAGCTATCGCAGTCCCAGCAGCAGCAGGCTGAGAAGGAGCAGCAGCAGCCAAGCAGCAGTCCCAGGGGAAAGAGCAGGAGCCCCGCTGTCGGTGATAAGGAAGGTAGGAGGGTGCGCACGTCGGTGCGTGTTTATCCGCACAGAAATGCCCAGTGTGTACAGCTGGACGCAGCCGGCAGCTTTTCTCCTCTTAGGTGAAAGCTTGCTTCCACCCTTGAAAGCTCTTTAATAGCATCTTGAAGCAGGACCAGAGAGGCATGGCTAATTTCCCATGTTCATTAGACAGTACATCATGTCTCATTGAGCCTACCGCAAACACCCGGCCAGTGTCGAGCGCTGAGGAGGTGAAGATTGCCTTTATTAGCGTCTCTGCCATTCACTTGAGAGCAAAAGGGCCTGGAGGCATGCCAGGGCTCTGGGTACAATGGCTCTTTTCTACCTTGCTGGCTTTCTATAAAGAATGCTTTTAATGCTCAGCGGGGACCATTATTTCATTTAAAATCAATGCTAATACTGTGACTCGGAGTCCAAAGGTTCCTGTAAAGATTCCCAGTGCTTTCTCCCCGGAATAGCTGTGATGTGGTTTGGTTGCCTAATGAGCAATTCAGAGTTTCCCACCGTAGAGCATCTGAAGCGTTATTAGCTTGAGCACCTGCGGATCAAGGTTAAGGAGAGACGGGAAGTCCTGATGAGACCATCCTCTAAATGTGGTTTTAATCTGAGTGTCAGTCTGTTCCAGTTCAGAGTCTGTGTCCCTGCCCCTGTAGCCAGCCTGCGGTTCGGTTGCGTGTGAAGATGAGACGCTGTGGCACGGTCAGAGGATCAGGGAAGTCGGGCTGGGTGGGTGCGATATCCCGCAGCGCTGGATCCTGCATGGGGATGGGTGCAGCTGCAAAAATGACCCGCTTATGCATGGAGGTGGAAGGTGGATGAGACTACACAGATGAGGCAGATCTGCACTGTGAGCTTTGCTGGAAAATGAGTGCACTAGCTCACCCTCTGGTAGCCAGGATCTCAGCAGCCCGCTCGCAGTGTCCAGGCCGAAGTATTTATTCTTCAAGCAGTCGCATCCCTTTGGACAGAATGGTGTGCTTGCAAGAAGAGGTGGTTGGTGGCACTTGGCCAGATTTTTTTCAAACAATAAACAGCACCATGTGTGCATCACACCTCCAGAATGCTTTGCATATAAGCAAGGAAGGTGACCGCTCCCCTTGAAAGAAAGGGAGTTCCTCCCCGAGTCATGGTGTTGCCACCCGTCTCCGGCTGTGCTCGCGTTTGCTGCCCAGGCGGAACAGTTCCCCTCCAGTTCTCCCTGTTGGCAGCGGGTAATCGGGTTCGATCTCTTCCTGCGCCGTAATCCTGTGCAGATCTGGTCTTGAACAGCTCAGCTTCCTGGTGAGCTGGGTGGCACGGCCAGTGCTTGAACCCAGAGCTCTGCATCGCTGGCATCCCAGCGCTGCGGCTGCAGCTTCCTCAGGAGGATGAGGAGGTGAGGCAGATTTATGTGTTAGGTACAAGGCAGGGTTTAGGGGTTGGAGATCAACCACGCCATTCTGCGACCTGTTGGTGCTATTATTAAATGCAAGGATCTCATACCCAGGTGGATTTTTTTTACGGTTTTGTTCTCTGCAAAGCACTAATGATATGAAGCACTTTATTCTCTCCTCTCACACCTCTGTAGTGCTCTGAATTTTCCATGTTAATGAAACTAATTACGCCTCCCTGTACCCCTGCAAATATCTCAGCAGGTCTTGGGCTCCAGCTGTGTGATCTCCAAACCCTGTGTAGCTGTGCATGTGTGCTGGGTACCAGCGTGGGTCTGGGCTGCACGTGGACCCTAGGGAGCCATAGGCTGGTCTTCTCTGTTCGTGGTGGGAATGCATGTCCTATTTGAAAACTAGCAGGTTTGTGATGAGAGTCGCCTCGAGGGGAGAAATCAAGTCCCCCGCAGCCCTGGTTTCAGTACGGGTACGGACTCAGGCAGCTGCCCAGTGCCATCTCTGCCTCTTGGAGCACATCCCAGCTGTGGATCAGGGGTTAGAGGGGAGATAGCCAGATAGGCCTGGCAAATCTGTGTACGTCCCTTCCCTCCCCTGCTCTCCGAAGCGTCCCAGTGAAGTGGCAAGCAGCCAGGCTGCAGAC